GGGCTAGTGACTGTCATAGAGGTTTGTCATTTGTCCCCCCCGTTTCCTTGGTCCTGTGATTTGGTAGGGGCTTAGAGGTTTGTCATACGTTCCCTCGCTTCGTCCTTTCGTGTTGCAAGGGTTTTGTGAGAGCCCGGCAAATTTGCCGTATGTCCCTTTTCTTCTTGCTTGTAGGGTTTGGGGAGCGTCTAGACGACTGACATATGTAATTTGATTCCGGGCTCGTATTGTGCGGGGCTAGTGACTGCCCTAGAGGTTTGTCGTATGCCCTCCTCTTGTTCCTGTGATGTAGTAGGGGCCTACAGGTTTGTCGTGTGTCCCCTTTCTTGGCATCTAGATGATTGTCATAAGACATTTGCTTCTGTGGTCGTATTGTGAGGGCTATTGACTGCCCTAGAGGTTTGTCGTATGCCCCCCTGCTTCGTGTTCCTGTGAGTTGGAAGGGCCTAGAGGTTTATCTTTTGTCCCCTCCCTTCGTCCCTTCGTGTTGTAAGGGTTTCGTGAGCGCTCTGGAGGTTTTTCGTATGTCCCCTTTGTTCGTGCTTGCAGGGTTTGGGGAGTGTCTAGATGATTATCATATATCATTTGCTTCCGCAGTCGCTATGAGGGTATTGATTGCCCTAAAGATTTCTCGTGTGCCCCCCCGCTTCGTATTCCTATGATTTGGTAGGGGTCTAGAGGTTTGTCGTAATTCCTCTCCCTTCGTTCCTTCGTGGGATGTTTGCGTGTGTCCCCTTTCTTCGTGCTTGTAGGGTTTGGGGAGCCTAGACGACTGATATATATATATATATATAATTCGATTCCGCGCTCGTATTGTGAGGGGCTAGTGATCGCCCTAGAGGTTTGTCGTATGTCCCCCCGATTCCTGTTCCTGAGCTTTGGTAGGGGCCTAGAGCTTTGTCGTATGTCCCCTCCTTTCGCCCCTTCGTGTTGTAGGGGTTTGTTGGGCCTTGAAGGTTTGTCGTGTGTCCCCTTTCTTCGAGCTTGGAGAATTGAGGAGTGTCGAGATGATTACCATACATCATTTGCTTCCGTGCTCGTACTATGTGGGGTTAGTGACTGCCCTAGAGGTTTGTCGTATGTCCCCTTCCTTCGTCCCTTCGCGTTGTATGGGTGGTAAGGGTTTTGTGAGGGCCCTGGAGGCTAGTCGTATATCCACTTTCTTCGAGCTTGTAGGGTTTGGGGGGAGCGTCTAGAGTCTAGATGATCGTCATATATGATTTGCTTCCGTGCTCAAACTATGAGGGGCTAGTGGCTGTCCTAGAGGTTTGTCATTTGTCCCCCCCGTTTCCTTGGTCCTGTGATTTGGGAGGGGCTTAGAGGTTTGTCATACGTTCCCTCGCTTCGTCCTTTCGTGTTGCAAGGGTTTTGTGAGAGCCCTGCAAATTTGCCGTGTGTCCCCTTTCTTCTCACTTGTAGGGTTTGGGGAGCGTCTAGACGACTGACATATAATTTGATTCCGTGCTCGTATTGTGAGGGGCTAGTGATTGCCCTAGAGGTTTGTCGTATGTCCCCCCGATTCCTGTTCCTGAGATTTGGTAGGGGCTTAGAGCTTTGTCGTATGTCCCCTCCTTTCGCCCCTTCGTGTTGTAGGGGTTTTGTTGGGCCTTGAAGGTTTGTCGTGTGTCCCCTTTCTTCGTGCTTGGAGAGTTTGAGGAGCGTCGAGATGATTACCATACATCATTTGCTTCCGTGCTCGTACTATGTGGGGTTACTGACTGCCCTAGAGGTTTGTCGTATGTCCCCTTCCTTCGTCCCTTCGCGTTGTATGGGTGGTAAGGGTTTTGTGAGGGCCCTGGAGGCTAGTCGTATATCCACTTTCTTCGAGCTTGTAGGGTTTGGGGGAGCGTCTAGAGTCTAGATGATCGTCATATATGATTTGCTTCCGTGCTCAAACTATGAGGGGCTAGTGGCTGTCCTAGAGGTTTGTCATTTGTCCCCCCCGTTTCCTTGGTCCTGTGATTTGGTAGGGGCTTAGAGGTTTGTCATACGTTCCCTCGCTTCGTCCTTTCGTGTTGCAAGGGATTTTGTGAGAGCCCTGCAAATTTGCCGTGTGTCCCCTTTCTTCTCACTTGTAGGGTTTGGGGAGCGTCTAGACGACTGACATATAACTGGCTAGTGACTGCCCTAGGGGTTTGTCGTATGCCCCCCCCCCCCCGCTTCCTTGTTCCTGTGATGTAGTAGGGGCCTACAGGTTTGTCGTATGTCCCCTGCCTTCGTCCTTTCGTGTTGTAAGGCTGATAAAGTTTTTCTGAGGGCCCTTGGAGATTTGTCGTATGTCCCCACGCTTCGTGTTCCTGAGATTTGGTAGGGGCCAGAGACTTGTCGAATGTCCCCTCCTTTCGTCCCTTCGTGTTGAAATTGCTTTGTTGGGGGAAGGTTTGTCGTATGTCACCTTTCTTTCTTCTTAGAGGGTTTGGGGATCTTCTAGAAAACTGTCATATATCATTTGCTTCCGTGCTCGTATTATGAGGGGCTGGTGTTTGTCATAGAGGTTTGTCGTATGTCCCGCCGCTTTCTGTTCCTGCGATGTGGTAGGGGCCTAAAGAGGTTTGTCGTGTGCCCCCTCCCTTCGTCCCTTTGAGTTGCAAGGGTTTTGTTGGACCTGGAAGATTTATCGTATGTCTCCTTTCTTCGTGCTTGTAGGGCGTGGGGAGCGTCTAGATGATTATCATATATGATTTGCTTCCGTGCTCGTATTATGAGGGGCTAGTGACTGCCCTAGAGGTTTGTTTTATGTCTCCCTGCTTCGTGTTCATGTCATTTGCTAGGGTCCTGGAGATTTGTCGTATGTCATTTTACCATATACGAAATTAGATACAATCCCTTCGTCCCTTCGTGTTGTAAGGGTTTCGTGAGGGTCCTAGAGGTTTGTCGTATGTGCCCTTCCTTCGTCCCTTCTTGTTGTAAGGGTTTTGTGAGGGCCCTGCAAATTTGCCGTATGTCCCTTTCTTCGTGCTTGTAGGATTTGGGCAGCGTCTAGATGATTGTCATTATCATTTGCTTCCGTGCTCGTACTATGAGGCGCTAGTAACTGCCCTAGACCTTCAGGGCCCTCACAAAACCCTTACAACACGAAGGGACGAAGGGAGACGACGTACGACAAACCTCTATCATCTAGATGCTCCCCAAACCCTACAAGCAAGAAGAAAGGGGACATACGACAAACCTCCAGGGCCCTCACAGAACCCTTACAATAGGAAGGAATGAAGGGAGGCGACACACTACAAACCTTTAGGCCCCTACCAAATCACAGGATCACGAAGCGGGGGCGTCATCTGACAAACCTCCAGGCCAATCACTAGCCCCTCATAATACGAGCACGGAAGCACATGATATGTGATTATCATCTACACACTCCCCAGACCCTACAAGCACGAACAAAGGGGACATACGACAAACCTCCAGGACCCTCCCAAAACCCTTACAACACGAAGGGACCAAGGGAGGGGACACACGACAAACCTTTAGCCCCCTACCAAATCACAGGAACACGAAGCGGGGGGACATACGACAAACCTCTAGGGCAGGCACTAGCCCTCATAATACGAGCACGGAAACACATCATATATGATAATCATCTTGATGCTCCCCCAAAACCTATAAGAACGAGAAAGGGGAAGCACACAAACCTCCAAAGCCCTTACAAAACCCTTACAACACGAAGGGACGAAGGGAGGGGACATACGACAAACCTCTGGACCCTACCAAGTCACAGGAAACACGAAGCGAGGGTGCTTGCCTAAGTCTGGCTGTTGGCCGGCTGGATCTACATTTACTGCTACTACTACTACTACTACTACTACTACTACTACTACTACTACTCCTACTCCTACTACTACTACTACTACTACTACTACTACTACTACTACTACTACTACTACTACTACTACTACTACTACTACTACTACTACTACTACTACTACCTACTACTACTACTACTACTACTACTACTACTACTACTACCACTACTACTTTCAAGAAGTTTTGTAAATAGTAAACAAAGGGGCGTGCCAAATAGACCCTAAAGGTCCATGCCACATATATGTATACATATTTGTTTATATTTAGATATATATGTATGTATGTATGTATGTATGTATGTGTGTATGTGTGTGTATGTGTGTGTATGTGTGTGTATGTGTGTGTATGTGTGTGTATGTGTGTGTATGTGTGTGTATGTGTGTGTGTATGTGTGTGTGTATGTGTGTGTATGTGTGTGTGTATGTGTGTATGTGTGTATGTGTGTATGTGTGTATGTGTGTGTTCGATTCTGAAGTTAACGCCCCTCAGTACTGTTGCCAGGGTTTGGCACGCTTTGTATTTAAAGCGTATCAAAAGCCCTGAGATTTGGTGCGTTGCTGCGGTTTTTGCAATGATTCAGGAGCTTGAAACGCGGAAAGCACTGCAAATGATAGCATGTATTTGCAGTGTGTTAAAAGCCCGTGCGTGCTGTAATTGCTAGGATTTCGGGCACTGTCGAGCAGTCCAACGTGCAGAAATTCCATGATCTACAGTTGTTTCCTGCAGTTTTTGCAATGACCTCGAAACGCGGAAATCACTGCAAATGACAGTTTTTACAGCGTATGAAAAGCCCATAAATGCCGAAATTGCTAGGATTTGGCGCACTGTCAATCAGGCGAACGTACAGAAATACCAAGATTTACAGGTTTTTCTGATTCAGGAGCTCGAAACGAGGAAAACGCGGCAAATTGCAGTATTTACGGCGTATGAAAGCCGTGAATGCTGTAATTGCTCGGATTTGCTGCACTGTTCAGCAGGCGAACGTTCATAAACACCATGGCTTACAGGTTTTGCGACGTTTTTTGCAATGAATCAGGAGCTCCAAATGCGCAAAAAATTGCAAATTACTATTTTCAGCCCGTCGACCGCCGAGGTGTCGAGCCAGACCTTGGAAAAAGAAAAAAGGAGAGCCAGACCTAAGAAACAAAAACACATCCGCCTTCCCTTTCGATCATGAACCCTTATGCCAGTTTGAGGTGATCTTCTTCATTGCATCTACGCTTGCGTTCTTGCTGCGGCGCCAGTACTGCGGCTGCTGCAGCGGAGTTGTGATGAATTGCTGCTTGGCCAGGTTCTGTTTAATTGAGTTTTTTTGGTTTTAGGGTTAAGGGTTTAGGGTGTAGGGCTGGCTTTCCCGCGCGATGTGCGCAACAACACGCGCTGAACCTTCCAGGCATTCCAGGGTGCAAAGTTCAGGGGCTCTGCGCCACGGAAGGTGAGTCGATGTTTACAAATCGAGCGTCTCCTAGGTAGGATACGGGGGACCCTTAAACGGGAACCCTTCTGAACCCTCTTGTGGCTCTCTTAAACAAGGACCTTAATGATTATTCAGAGGGTCTATGTTCCCAAGGGTCCCCCTAATCCTATCCCCTACTTGGAGGTTCATGGTACTTACTAACCAAGTATAACTGTACTTATAACCCTACTTATAATACCCCTAAAGGGCCTTATAGGGGTTATCCCACTTATAAGTAGGGTTATAAGCCCAGTTACAATTGGTCAGTAAGTACCATGAACCTCCAAGTATCCTCTAGCTTCCCAAGGCTTGATCCTTGTGATCGTGGTGGCTGCCTTCGTCGGCTTGCTCGAATTGGAGCTGCTATGTTGGGCAGTGGACATTGTGGAAACTTACCTGTTCAGCGTTTGTCACGTACTAGGTAGGCCCTCGGGATATGTCATATTTTGCCATAGTGGGTTTAAGAGAAGCACATTTAGGAATATTTGTTCAGAGGGTTTTCCGGGCCATTCTAGCTTTATTGTTTATCAAGGTAGGCAGGCAGCAGTATGAAAGGCTGATTTCGTTTCTCGAGCTTCTTGGGCATTTAATCAGCGATGCAGCCGCTGGCGGCTGTAATTCAGAAGCCGGGGTAGAGGTTGCAAGGATGGTGGTAGGGATGTCAATAGGGGGGTTTACGATGATAAGGGACCCCGAACATAGACACCCAAAGAGAAGGCTCCCCTGATTATAAGGACCCCAATAAGGTCGCCCCTAAGACCGTAACCCCCATATCACCCAAGAGACAGTCCAGGAAAACGGCAACAAATTGTACGACCTGCTTCCAGGCTCCTGTTTTTTCATGTGCGCCATGCTCTCGGTCGCAGCGTTGGTCTTCGCCTGCAAGAGGAACCTGGTGATCGTTGCACAGCTTCGCCGTCGAGATCGCAAGTAGCCCGAAAAATTGCCAAGAGTCGCGTCCGGCGTGGAAATGCCGTGGAGCACCGTGTCCGGTGCCACTTGCACCGGTTCCCTCTTTTCATTGCTGGGCTCCCAAGCAGGCTCGTCGCAGCTGTTGCTGTTGCGTGCCTCAATCAAATACATGCACGCATGTTTCACCTTGCGAGCAGGACCACCCCTTTTGAACTCAAACAGTGAGTAAACCCTGAGCCTGAAGCCCTATCCTCAGCATGAGCCTTAAGCCCTTTGCAAGCCCCAAAAACACCTTTAAAACCCTCAACCCTAAGCCCCAAACCCTAAACCAGAAACCCTAAACCCCGTTTAGGAACACCCGTGAGAGCCCCGGAGATCTCCCTGCAAGGAGCCGCCCGCGCCCTCCGAGGAGGAGATAGCGGCCTTCCGCCTTCTCCTCAGGGTTTAGGGTTTAGGGTTTCGGGTTTAGGGTTTAAAGTTTAGGGTTTAGGGTTTAGGGTTCAGGGTTCAGGGTTCAGGGTTTAGGCTTCAGGGTTTAGGGTATAGGGTTTGGGGCTTCGGGGTTCTTCGGGTTCGTGGGGTTGATCGGATCGTTTTAGGGGGAACATGGAGGAACAGGCCTGAGTGGTGGCACTTGTGACTTGGTTTAGGGTTTAGGGTTTAGGGTTTAGGGTTTAGGGTTTAGGGTTTAGGGTAAACCCTGTCTGCTTAGCGGGTGGCAAAAAGGGGTGAGCCGACTGTATAGTTCTCGCTAGTGCTGGGTTTTGGGATTCTTGAGGGTACTATAGGGGGTCGGAATAATTTCTAGTGGTATTCCCTTATGGTCCCTTTGAAAGATACTATAAAGCCTCCCAAAACCCTATTCTAATTGTTAAGGCCCCTATATTCGGTACTCGCGAAGCCTGTCCAGCTTGGCTGCATGTCCTGGTTCTCTAAGTTGTGCATTGTTGGCCTTTTGAATCCTTTCCCGGTCCTTGGACACTCCAGCGTTACATATTGTCCGGTTCCTCGGTGGCTTGGGAACATAGTCTTCCCTAAGTCCCTGAGGCCCTAAATCCGACGTGAAGTTACCAAGGGGATCGCTATCCCATGGACGAGCCGCAGCCTCAGCACAAGAAGCTGTCGACGCAAATGTGCGGCAATTGCGATGCGTGTATTTACGCCTTAATTAAGGTGCAAACCTGAAACGCTAGATATATATATATATATAGGGATCCTGATTATGACTTAAGGTGCTCCTTAGTGACTTGGTGTTTGGCAGTCCTGTTTCGGGTTCCGAGCTTCGGATTGATAACCTCTTTTGCCCATGGACCCGTCCTGCCTTTCTGTTTTGCTTCTTAGGGTTTAGGGTTTAGGGTTCCTTCCAAGGGGCTTTGTACCCTGAACCCTTTCAAGAAGCAGAAACCCCAAGGCCCTGAACCCCATGTACCTACAGTGATTGCCCTGTATGCCGTGTCTCATTCCCCGAGCCTGCCTGGTCACCCATCACTCTCTCACCTCTCCTACTTCTCTCCCCTCTTGCTCTGGCTCTTCCTCTTCCCCTTTCCTGTTCTGGTTCATCTTCTTTCGTTCCTTCTTGATTCTTGTCACTTGTCTTTGCATGGCTTTCCTCTCTCTCGCCTTCTCTCTTTTCTTCGCGTCTGCGATGTCCTGCCCCGCGTAGTCCGACAACCATCGAAGGTGGCACATTTGAAGGGTGAGAGCTGGTGCTTCAATCGATGCAAGGCGTGCCTACGAGTACCTGACGAGCTCGCCGGTGGCGGCGCAAATCAAGGTGCCGCCCGCAACCCCTTTGGTGATGCTCAAGAAGTCTTCACAGGCAATGCTGTCTAGGATGCCCAGTAGTGCCCTTATTCCCTTTTTTGGGGGTTTAAGTTCCCTTATAAAACCCCTAACCCCAATTAACCCCAAAACCCCACGCCCAAACTCCTAGATGGCACAGGGGCCCGATGTCTTGGTCTGCTTGGTCCACGCAGCTGTCCAAACCCACCCGCAGGTTTGCCAGCCTTACCCTACCTGGGCAACGGCTTTTAGGGCCTTTTAGGGTTTAGGGTTTTTTGGGTGTAAGGTTTTCGGGTTTAGGGTTTTTTGGGCTAGGGTTCAGGGTTTGAAGGTTCAGGGTTTTCGGGTTTAGGGCTTTTAGGGGTTTTAGGGTTATGAGGGTAGGCCTTTAGGTTTTTGTGGGGGGGTGTAGTGGGTCTCCAGAGCCACTCACAGTCCTTAAGTGGGGATCAGCCTTGATTCAGAATTATTGCAAATTGTTGTTGCGCATGTATATAGCTTCGACTTCGGCGCCCGTAAACACAAGTCCCTTATAAGCAGAAGACGCTCAGGGGTTTAAAAAATAGGGGACCCAAAAATAGATCCACACGTAGTCGGATCCTGAGGAATTTACCCCTAAACCCCCAACCCCCAAACCCAAACCCTAAACCCTAAACCCCTAACATCGAAACACCCCAACTTAGGGTTGGTAACATGGTCCAGGTGCTGACGGAATTCAGGCCGCGCAACGAGGGCGAGCCGGACTACTCATCTCTGGCTCCTCCGCCTCGTTTTCTACAACCCTAAACCCTAAACCCTAAACCCCAAACCCCAAACCGTAAACCCTAAACCCTAAACCCTAATGTTGGACCTGCTTTAATAATCTAACCCCCCCCCCCCCCAAACCCAAACAGTCCCCGACGCTTATGCCTTCCTGCAAACCGAAGGACTGAGCCGCGGGCCCCGGAAGATTTGTATTACAGCGGGCCCCCAAACCAAGGTGTCAAACTGTGTCCGGAGGCCTCCGTAAGCTACCCCCTTTCCAGATATGATTCGCCTATGGAATCATGTTTTAAGTAAGGAATTTATAAAGAAAACGCGCCCTGAAAAAAGAAGATTTTCGGAGATCCTGGAAAGGTCGAGGCTTCAGGCTTCAAGTATTTCCCCTTCTCGAGAAAGCTTCGAAGGACTGAGGCCCATAAAAAACAGTCACGGCCCGAACACTTGTCATTATAGTGTCCCCCAAAACAAAGGCCAATTCTGAATAGCCGAATTTTTTTTCGTAATAGCAACCCCCTAGAATATTGCGGGTGCAACCCTAAACCGTAAATCCTAAACCCTAAGCCCTAAACCCTAAACCCTAAGACCCTTCCACCGGATGTTTTCGCAGAAGGTCAGGTAGAATAAGCCCTGACTCCTAACTCCCTAACCCCTAAATCCTTAACCCAGGCTAGTCGGCGAGATGCAGCTCGAGCCACCATAGCATGGCTTCGCACAGTTTTCCTCGTTGCGGTATGTCCGGGTGATACTGGCAATGCGCGCAGGCTTGCTACTGTACTTTGGGCTGAATCCGAGTTGGGGCGGCAGTACTTCTATGGGATGTCATATGACATCACCTCTGTGCGATACCTGCATGTTCTGGGCGGGCATCACATGTTTCACCTCATGTGCAACATCAGTCTCATGGATATCATCGTGCGTGATGTCGCAGTAGAAATACTATGTGGCAACAAGGGGTCTTCGTGTCCTTTTCTATCGTCCCTGACCCGAAATCCGAAAACCCAGATCCGAATTCTTGCCTGCTTCGTGCGGGTGTCAGAGTCGCAGCCCTAACCCCTAAACGCGGGTGCCAACAAAAGCCCAAAACCCAAAACCCTAAACCCTGATTAGCTACGCGGGAGCGAGAAAAAACTCTGACTTGTCGGTTTTCAACGCGGTTTAGGGTTTAGGGTTTCGGGTGAGGGTTCAGGGGATTAGGAGAGGACTCTCTGGTGTAACCAAATCATCCCTGGGTAGCCCTTGGGATTGGGTTCATTCTTCCTGTTTGGGCTCATGAGGATCTTATCTAGGGCCAAGCCCCGGAACCCCAAAACCCTACAAACCCTAACCCTGTGAACCCTAGCCCGACCGCAAGAGCCCTAAAGACCCCCAAACTTAAAAGCCCAGACCCTACAAGCCCTCAAGCCACACCCTAGATAGACACTAACCCAACCTAAATTAAAGCCCCTAACCCAACCGAAATTAAAGCCCCCAGCAACCTAAACCCGAAACCCAAACCCCAACCCTAACCCTCGAAAACAATAAAGCCCTTAAAGCCCTATATCCCCCCAAAAATCCCCAAAGCCCCTAAGAGCCTAACCCTAACCCTAAAACACCCTAACGCCCCTACCCTAACCCTAAAAAAAACGAAGGCCCCTAAGAACCTAGCCCTAAGCCCGTTAAGAATCTAGCCTTAACCCTTACAAACAAACACCCTGAAGCCCCACGTTCTTGATGGCAGGTCACTGCGCTGGTGAAAAGGGCGCGGCAAGTCTGGGCCTTAAACCCTAAACCCTAAACCCTAAACCCTAAACCCGAAACCCTAAACCCTAAACCCTAAACCCTAAACCCTAAACGCTAAACCCTAAACCCTAAACCCTAAACCCTAAACCCTAAACCCTAAACCCTAAACCCTAAACCCTAAACCCCAAACCCTAAACCCTAAACCCTAAAGGGACGAGTCCGGCGGGCTCCTTTTCCACCCTTGTGTTTGGGGGGTTTAGGGTTTGGGGCCTAGTGTTTAGGGTTTAGGGTTGTAGAAAGACGAGGCGGAGGCTGGTTTAGGGTTTAGGGTTTGGGGTTTAGGGTTTAGGGTTTAGGGCAAGGAGTCCAGATGCAAAACAGGGTTTAGGGTTGAGGATTTAGGGATGATCTCGCAAGGAGTTCTCACGGTGAAGCCTCCCAGCCTTCAGGCAGCTCGGGGGAGTCCTGAAGGCCCGAAACCCTATGTAAACCCTAAACCATAAACCCGAAACCCGAAACTCTAAACCCTAAACCCTAAATCCCTAAACCCTAAACCCTAAACCCACATCCTAACTGCGGCAGGCTTTCGGGGTTCCTCAACCCTCAACCCTCGACCTGATTCTGGGGAACCCTAAACCCCAAACCCTAAACCCTAAACCCCCAACCCTAGGCTTCCGGGTTTAGGGTTTAGGGTTCAGGGTTTAGGGTTCAGGGTTTAGGGTTTAGGGTTTAGGGTTTAGGGTTTAGGGATCCATAAGC